TTAGAGACGTATAAATAGAAGTGCTAGGTCATTAGTGTGCATTCCATCACCTATAAGCCATCACAGGTAGCAAATCAACAAATCGTTTTGAGTCAGTTTGATTAGGATAAGACGACTATTGAGAGCTAGTAGCTTAGACAGATATCTACTTGCACATTTTCGGATCATTGTAGTCTTAGCTACCCACGTGGAAGATGGGGCGGGAGATTATTGTGGATGCCAGCGTATGTAAGAATTCTTGGGGAATAGAAAAGACAGAAAAAAAAAAAAAAAAAAAAAAAACTGGAACTTGTGCACCGGAATTGCCCAAATATGGTTAGTTTTGCTGCTACTCCAGCTCCATGATGATATCCACAAATGGGTAAGGTGTACAAAATCAAGTTCCTACCAAGCTTGTTGTCCAGTTTCTGGGTACATACCTTAATTTCGCGGGCGTTACCACTCTAACCTGCTTGTCCGCTTAAACTTCTCGCCTCGCCTTCCCCTTTTTTCCTTCAAGCTAACAAATGTACGAGTTCTACCGAGGTTCTTGTCTTCATGGATCCCCAGGCGGATCTCAGCTACTCAGTCGTTCATCGGACCAGTCAGCTATCGCCTTATACCTAGCTAGCCCAAAGTGGAAACATCATGAATTAAAGTACTAGTAATGCTGCGGTTTGACTTGTTTCCTGAGTTCAACCGGCGGGCAACCAACATCGCATAGCGCAAGCACAAGTGCACAAATTAAATACCTCCTCACGTACCTTGTATTTCTGGTTGCCAGGAGCATCGGCACCGCATGCGGATGCTCAAGCGCCCACCTTAGACACCTAAGCCAAGTTCGGGGGGCGCTTTCATCAATCTCCAAATAATATGCTCCCTGGTGCTTGGTTATTTACATTCGGTATGGGCAACCCTAGAGCACAGCATAAAAATTGTTACGAGGCAAATATCAAGGTCATCGACTTCGTATGTTCAATGATGTAGTTTGCGGTGCCTAGGAAGCAAAAGCGAGCCCAAAATCTTGTCGGTGCGGTAAGAATCGGACTTCCAGCAACTCGGACTCCGGAAATTGGTGGACAGTATATAACCAAAATCAATGTAGTAGTGACTTGAGATGTTCTAGTCTGTGTCAGATATGTACCTTCCATCCAGATGATCATTGCAGTGCTGTGGAGGAAAGTCTATGCCTTGTTTGTGCAGCTATCATTATATTGGAGAGTTAACTCTGCCGCTGGGTATGGCTCCACTGCAGCCAACTGAAAAACAAAATAATGTAAAGTAAAATAAATCATTAAATTAAAGCAAACGAACAACAGAGAGGGGATCCGACCAAGCTACGGAGTACAGAATAGGTTTTCCCATCCTATACCTTTCTCGCTGTTTTCTTGCCTGGGCTCCCCCCCCGGCTGTTCATCGATAAAGTGTTGTCGGTGTGATGCAAAAATAGAAACAGAGGGGGTGGCAATTGGGTACGTCGACATTGAAGAGAATCATTAGACAACGTGACAATAAAGTCTACAGGTTCTGAAATAAATACTTTCATGCTGCCTACGGGAACAATGATATGATGACTAACCATACCTGTCTAACTAGTTAGTTACTGGCTGGCGAAAATAATCCAGTTAACTACTACTATGTAGTAGTTAACTAAAGCGATGAGATGATTAATCCTTGTTAGCTCGTGGAACCTTATTTAACCAGCGATGGACCGGCCCGGCACTGGTTATCGGACGGATTCTCCGGCAGAGTGTGCATTTATTGGGTTTAGCAGGGATCCAGGGAAAAAATAAAAAATGAAAAAAGAAAGAAAGAGAGAGAGAGAGAAAGAAAGAAAGGAGTGAGAAATAAAATTCGTCGTCGTCATTTCGCTTATTACTACTAGTACACTGTAGCATTCTAGCATTCCAATCTAATGGTACGGAGCACATACTGCATATAGTACCGCTAACTCTCTAGGAGAAATCCCCAATGATACAATAGGGGTAAGATGGTCCCCACTATAGGTAATTGTCATGGAATTTTCTTCGTCGAACGAATTTCTCGCTAAGCCCAGATGGGGCGATTTTTTGTTCGAATTTCACATGCCTATGGCAATGTCAGCAGAGTCAATTGAGAAGCAAAAGAGGGGAAGAAAAGAAGAGGATAAAAAAAAAATCGGCGATTTGATGGGAAGAGACGTTACTAACATGTAAGTGTGAACAATGCACACGTTATCGCATTGTCCTGCGGTCATTTTCATATTTGGATCACCATAAGATATAACAAGACAGCCTTAAGAGTCCAAGAATTTTACGGCAATAAAATTCCAAAGCTTACGACAACCCAATTATTAGGTATTCCCGGGAATTAGGAAGATTGGTTTTAGCCTGACCACCAGGGGCCACGGAATGTTCTATCTTCCTTCCCCGTGTGGACCTGCAAAGACTCGTGATGGGTGCGGCACCGGCGCAATCTACTGTCGCCCCTCTCGATTATTCTACCTAGAAAGATAGGCACGCCCGGGGAAAAGACCAATAAAATAAGAAAGAAGACAGGAAAACCGTCTTCGGATTGGGTTTTGATAATGCCACTTGGTATACGTTAGTCGGACTATATGATTGCCGGTACAGTATAAAGGACTGCCATGATTTAACGGCCTTACTGCCTGACCTGGGCATGACCCTATCCGAAGGATGGATCAACTCCTATTGTTGCAAGCACACATACAGAGAAAAATGAATGTACAATCCCAATTGTCTGTGGTAGTGGGGGGCACCCTGAACTTAGTGTTACCATACGCCCACCTCGTGTCTACCCGAAACTGTTTCGATCAAGCCGAACGGACTTTCTTGGACCTGGATGTGGGACGGGTCAAGGAGGCCAGAACTGTGTTAGGGGTGGGAATTTTGCGTCGAAGAAACGGCCTAAGACCTAATAGATCGACCAGAATACCTTACGAAGTACTGAATGATTAGGAAAAAGTCTCGGGAGCTGTTATAACTCTGATGTTATTCATAGGCCACGAAGGACAAGGATTGATACTACGTACGTACTCCTGTCAATCCCATTCTTGCGAACATCTCACCAGAATCGAGTTTGTAGATGGAGAAATACCAGTAGACAGATGGTATCTGAGCGATGTAATGATTAGGATTGGATACCTGCGAACTTGATACAGTCAATCAAACGCTAAAAATCAGGGATTGCATCATTTTCGATGTAACTTTAGTAGTACCCTATGCTTTGCCAATGTATGTTCAGGTTTTGCATTTTGATAGAATTCAGGCACGGTACCTTTTAGAAATAAACAGAGGAAAAAAAAGGTTACCCATCAACCAACCATACATCATCCCGGAAGGAATCCCCACTCACTCTGCGCGGGTCCATCTGCATGTCCCAATCCACCAAATGCAGTTCCAGTTCCAGCTTCAAGCCCCAGATAGACACTAAGTGACTCTCTCATGCTTTTAGGTCTTACAGTTGGTTCTCTTCCACTCTCTTTGCCCCCTCTCTTGCTGCTTCTGCCGGTTTCTACTTTCCTTCCCCTCTTCGTCGCTATCACCATTCTAATCCAGCCTTTCTTACTGCCCTCCTGTCAGATTTCTCCACCCAATCTGGTCAGTTAAGGAATAAATGATTAGCGCCCAACTTGGGTTATTAATAAGCTAGCGCACAGGATTAGTCAATTATTTCAAGAAGGTTAACAAAAATAATAAACAAAAACTAAAATAAAGATAAAGAGAGAGGGAGAGGGAAGAAAGAAGCCATCAATACCGCATACCCACCAACTCCTAACTAAACACGCTAATCCAAAACTAAGAGACGGCTCTTGGTCTCCGACAGGGATCATTGTCTCCAACGCCTCATTTCATTATCTATTTTGTGATTCTATTCTATTCGCCTTTTTCACTTCCCTTTTTTTCTTTTTTTTTTTGACCCTCTAGAAACACCTTGCCCCCCTTCCTCTTTCTCATTTTGACATTTTGTTATTCTATCCAGTTTCTCCCTCTTCCTACACGTCCAGATCTTCATCCTGATACTTAACCCTGAGGTTCCGTGGCTAGTTTGGGTTTCGCCCCCCTCATCCATTCTGTTACTTGCTGGCCAAGCCTTTCTTACCTCCTGGAAACCGGCACCTTTTCCCCTCCCCCTCCTCGTTCGCGAACGAGATAAGAGAAAGGCTCGTTAAAACGCCTCTCCCAATATTATCGTACATACTCCTACATACTCCTACATCGACTGCTGGCGATCGCTCTTCTAAGTATCGCCTCCTCTCCCTTTCCCCCTCACGTGGCGGAAACAGTTTGAGGCAAAATAAAACCTCTGCGTGTTTTATCACAAGAAACTCTGACAAGCATCCACTCGACATACTTTTTTTTTGCGTCTGTTTGACCTTTTTCTTTATTCTATATATTTCCACGTTGCGCGGAGTTGTGAACAGCTTCATTTAGCGGATTACTTCCGGTTGTACCTCCCGTATCGTCCTGCAGGTGGTGGCCGCTTATTTGCGAACTGCTCCAATCCTAATTTGGGGGGGGTTGTTTTTTTCCCTTCTTTTTTCTGGCCCTTAAACTCTTCTTTAAAGGACAGTCTTGGTCACAAAAAGAAAAAGAAACGAAACGAAGCGAAAAAGGAAAGAAAAAAAAATTCTTTCGCTTTCAACATCCACTCAACTGATCTAATTTGTCCTCTTCTTTACCCTACGTCTTCCAAAGTACGTGGGCTATTTATTGTCTGAATTGGGGGAATTAATTGCTCCCTTGGTTTTTGGTGTGGGTATGCTTAGACGGCAGTCTAAAGTATCGACGATAATTCCGGTGGCTAATCGCGCACTACCAAAATAGCCGTTCTTTGGATTCCTACGTTCCCGTGTCCGTGCTCAATCTGGAGCATCCCATAGATCTCTTTTCTTCTTTTTCCTTTTCGACCTTCCTCCTTTTCGACTCCTTGGCCCACCCCGCCATTCCATTTCACTTATACGCCAGATACCCAATTTTGTTTTCCTCTCTTTGACGCCCACCGCTCTATAAACAGTCGCCATGTCGGGGAAGATGACACTGTACAAGTTGGTGGTGCTGGGGGATGGTGGTGTCGGAAAAACGGCGCTCACAATTCAGGTTAGCCCTTGACCTCTCCGTCTCTGGTCATGACCCGAATAACTAAACAATTGGACTCTCCTTCGCTCAATAGTTATGTCTAAATCATTTCGTTGAGACGTACGATCCGACGATCGAAGACTCGTATCGGAAGCAAGTGGTGATCGATCAGCAATCATGCATGTTGGAAGTACTAGATACCGCAGGCCAGGAAGAATACACAGCACTAAGGGATCAGTGGATCCGTGATGGTGAAGGGTTTGTGCTTGTTTACAGTATCACCTCACGGGCCTCTTTTTCGAGAATACAGAAGTTTTACAACCAGATCAAAATGGTCAAAGAATCAGCCAGTTCTGGCTCCCCCACCGGCGCCAGCTATCTAGCTCCCCGATCAACAATCCCTCCGGGCCTCCGCTTCCCGTTCCCGTGATGCTGGTTGGTAACAAGAGCGATAAAGCTGTCGAGCGAGCAGTGTCCGCGCAGGAAGGCCAGGCCCTAGCCAAGGACTTGGGCTGTGAGTTTGTTGAAGCGTCAGCGAAGAATTGCATCAATGTTGAAAAAGCTTTCTACGACGTGGTTCGAATGCTCAGGCAGCAACGGCAACAACAACAAGGAGGGCGATCTCAGGATCGCCGACCCACTGGCTTGGGTCCCATGCGCGACCGTGATGCTGGTCCAGAATACCCGAAGTCTTTCCGGACTGACCGCGGCGGGCGGCATCGTGGCTCACTAAAATGCGCCATTCTGTGAATCAAGCCTCTCTTGCTGGTCGAGTTACACCCTAGCCATGGCTAGCCGCCCAAAGGAATGAAAGGGCCCCTTGTGCACGTTTTGCGACCTGTCGTGGATGTCGGTTCCACTCCTTATTTTTCTTTGGCCTTATCTACGAGAGCCCATGCGAGCCTGCTTTGTGACAATATCTTCACTTGTTTATATTGACCGCGAGTCTTCATGGTCATATGGCTCTGCACCCAGCGCCTTACTCTGTCTTTTTTCTTACCCCTCCCCCGCCTATGTTTCGTCTCTCTTTTTTATTTTATCTTTTTTCTCCCTCTTTACCTCCCCTATTTTTTTTTCTTAATAACTCCACGTGTTGAGATGTAATGGTTGGTGGTGAATATGCTTGATGCATGATCTACGTTTTCAATGTGGGAGGCGATCTCTGGACCATCTCAGGGTGTTTCGGTTACGGAAGGTTTTGTGTCTGAAGAGGCCGGGAGCCGCCGGGGCCTTGGGAGAATACGTCTATTTTTTTCTGTTTTCGCCTATATTTATTTTCGATCCCGCCGGCTTATTACCCGCCTTCCGAATCCTTATTTGCCTTTACGACACCTTCGTTACACAACAGTGACGCTGGAGGAGGGGAGTTCTCGATATGAGTAAAAGAATGGAGATGGGGTTGGTTTATGGGATGGGAGGGCGGCTTCTTGAAAGAATGAAAGGAGATGGATATGTGGTTTTTGAAGGAAGTCAGAAGATGGTAGTCCACAGTTTAGCAGGCATTGCGATATGATACCCTACGGTTGAGCTTTGAGTTGCGATTTTTGATGCATTTGCGAGTAACTACTAGGTACTACTAGAAGGGAAAAAAAAGAGGCCCGATTTATTTTATCACATTGCTTTCGCCTATGAATTACTACGGAGGGGGAAAAAAAAGTGGAAAATACAAATGAAATGAAAAGGGATGAATATCTCACTGTGCTTGCAATGACTGGTCTTGGAGTATAAAGAAGGTTTCTAAGTTGATGTGTTCTTTTGTGTATAGAACAATACCTAAGTACACGTATGGGTAGGCGATTGATTAAAATCGGGTTCGAGTGCGGGGAAAGCTTCTCATTTCCTGCCTACCTTACCTCGGCTCTCCTCTCCGCACAATCTACAAAAGTAGTTATTACTATTCATGTCGGGCTCCTTCATTCGCGTGTTCGTCTTCCCTACGCCCGGAGGGTTGAGAATCAGCGAATCAACCGAATGAGCGTGCGACGCTGAGCCACGACTCCGAAATTTCGCAAGGTTTCGGATGCCAGGACGGACACACGACAATTCGAGGCTTAAGAATGAGACAGACCCCTAGCATCCCCGCATGTCTACTCCTTTGCTAGCCGCGGAATGCGATGGTGACCGACTACTACTAACCGCGGTGGCGTCCACCTGCAGGAAGACGTCTCAGGCACTGCAGAGCCTTTCCGAATCTTGTTGAACGCCTTCTGTTTGGGCTTTATGATCACTACTAGTAACTAGTTATTTAGTTGTCTTTCACATTCAACTTTTCTTGCTTGCTCGCGTCCCCCCTCGACCACCTTCTTCCTTTGGTCACCTTCATCATGTCACGTCATCCACAGCAGCTGGTGCACAGCTCTTCTCTTCGGGACCCGGAGAGCTTCTGGTCTCACCATGCAGAGCAGCTCTCCTGGCACCGGAAACCATCCCATGTGATCAGCCGACATTCCAAAGTTCTTCCCAGCGGTACTAGCCACGACCATTGGTCCTGGTTTCCCGACGGGGAGATCTCCACGACCTACAATTGTGTGGACCGCCACGTGGAGAATGGTAACGGTGACAATGTTGCTATCATTTGGGACTCCCCGGTAACGGGAACGAAAGAGAAATATACCTACCGACAGCTGTTAGAGGAAGTGGAGATCTTGGCAGGTGTATTACGAGAAGAAGGAGTGCGCAAGGGTGATGTAGTCATTATTTACAGTATGCCACTTAAATCTTTTCGCTCTTGCCCTAGTCCTTTTTGACGCTTCTAGGTACGAAAGATGTTGACTATTTCCAGTGCCCATGATTCCAGCCGCGCTCGTTGCAGCACTGGCGATTGCTCGACTGGGAGCAATCCATGCGGCGGTGTTTGGAGGGTTTGCGGCCAAGTCCCTCGCGCAGCGGATTGAAGCTGCCAGGCCTCGAGTCATCATGACGGCATCATGTGGTATAGAAGGGTCGAAGGGCCCTGTTGCCTATAGACCATTAGTCGAGGGGGCTGTTGGGGCAAGTAGCTTTAAGCCTGAAAAGGTCATTGTTTGGCAAAGAGATCAGCTGCGGTGGAATCGACCCGATAAGCTGGGTGGACAGCGCAACTGGCAGCGGTTGGTCAAAAGCGCACGCATGCGTGGCATCAAAGCCGGACCGGTGCCTGTGGCTAGCACAGATGGATTGTATATAATATACACTAGCGGTACGATCCAATATCTTGGAAATGACGTTTCGTTCGTATAACTGACAAAATTCCACAGGTACCACCGGGTTGCCAAAGGGAGTTGTTCGAGAAGCTGGCGGCCATGCAGTAGGATTGCATCTATCTATTAGGTATCTGTTTGGCATTCAGGGCCCAGGTGATGTAATGTTCTGTGCTTCTGATATCGGGTGGGTAGTCGGCCACTCCTACATCCTATACGCTCCTCTTTTGGTTGGCGCAACCACAGTACTCTTCGAAGGAAAGCCTGTTGGAACCCCAGATGCGGGAACATTTTGGAGGGTTATCGAGGAACACAGGGCCAACGTCCTGTTCACAGCACCTACAGCCATGCGTGCCATCCGAAAAGATGATCCAGACAACAAGTTCTTCGAGGAGGTGGCCCGCCGTGGTGGCCTGAAGCATTTCAAAGCTCTTTTCCTCGCCGGCGAGAGGAGCGAGCCTAGCATTGTTCAAGTGTATCAGGATCTTCTATCCCGTTATGCCGCCCCTGGTGCCATGGTCGTAGATAATTGGTGGTCATCCGAATCAGGCTCGCCTATCTCCGGGCTGGCGCTAAGAAGCACAGCTGGAATGGCCTTAGGTGATGATCAGGAACTAGAGCCGTTGGCTATTCGGCCAGGGTCGGCCGGATTGCCAATGCCGGGATTTGACGTTCGGATTGTCGATGATGAAGGCCGAGAAGTCCCCCGAGGGACGATGGGCAACATCGTCCTTAGTATGCCATTGGCTCCCACGGCTTTCACTCGATTGTTTAATGACGACGAAAGATTCTACAGGGGATATCTCAAGCGCTTTTCGGGTAGATGGGTGGACACAGGGGATGCAGGTATGATTGACCAGGATGGGTACATTCATGTCATGGCGCGAACGGACGATATCATCAATGTGGCTGCGCATCGGTTTAGTACAGGTATACATCTTTAATGCTGGTCATGATCTCACATCAGCTCACATGGTTTGATACAGGCGCAATTGAACAGGCCATTCTGTCACATCCGGAGGTCGGCGAAGCCAGCGTTGTTGGCATACCGGACACACTAAAGGGGCACCTTCCTTTTGCCTTTATCCAGCCACGGACTGCTTCTGTAGCCCTGCCAGCGATACCTACCCCGGAGCTGTTCAACGCGATCAATCAACGGGTCCGTGAGCAGATCGGAGCAATCGCATCCCTCGGAGGCATGATACAGGGACGCGGGATGATCCCGAAGACACGCAGCGGTAAGACGTTGCGGCGAGTATTGCGGGAGCTGGTCGAACACGGGGTGCGCGGAGATTATGGGGCCCCGGTGAGCGTACCGCCGACAGTCGAGGACGCTGAGGTAGTGGAGATAGCGCGAAGCAAAGTGCGAGAGTACTTTGAAAAGAAGCAGCAAAGTCGAGCCAAACTGTAGATGACAAGCAAGACCTGCACAGCCCCGGATAACAACATGTTGGGTGGGAAAAGCAAGTAAGGACAAGTTTACTTTACAGCTTCTCTCAGAATGCACAAAATCTGTATAAACCGTAATGAGCTATTATAAAGTCTGTGAGGTATACACAGGAAAGTCGAACTTCCAGCAGGCACTAAAGCCATCAAGATCAATATTAACAGAAAAAGTCGTAGAGATATCAAAGAAAATACAATATGTATGGTATCGGTCGTATCACCAGTAAGCAGTGGTCTAGACACTCCAACAACAGATCAAAAAAGAATTTAATAACTCCGTCATCATAGTCAAGTACATCTATGCGATATGTTCTCACCTGCAGATAATACAGGCCAACATAAGGATCGCAATCATGACGACGGACGCCGAGAATAAAGACTCAAGGGGGTAATAGAGAAAATGCAATCAATCCGTCCATCCGTCGAAGTTTAAATCAGTTTACAACAGAACAGCAGCGAGACCGAAGACGGTCGCGAGACCGGCACCGGCGCCGACAGCGGCGCGAGAGCCACCGCTAGTGAAGAGAGGAACAGCGGGTGTGGTAGCGGAGCCGGTAGGAGAGACATCAGAGGGGCCGGAAGCAGAAGGAGCGGAAGGAGCAGGAGGAGCGTTGGTGGAAGCAGCATGGGTGGACTGAACCAGAGGGGTGGAGGAGATGACGATGCTGCTGCTGCTAGGGCGCTTGATGATGGAGGAGCTGCTGCTAGGAGTAGCCTTGGAGCTGCTGGGGACGACGGGGACGCTGGGGACGACGGGGATAACGGGGGAGCTGGGGACGGAGCTGTCAACAGGGTTGACGCCAGTGGGAGTGCCAGCAGGGGGGGCAGTGCTGGAGCTGTAATCTTGTGAGCTTAATAGTCTATACAGGGAAGGCGCTGAGATATAACATACCACTTGTTGCACTCAGTCACGGTCGAGGTGATGAGAGGGCGAGTGGTGGTGTAACCCTATTACCCGATCAGTATAATCCTAGAATCGAAATACTGTGAAGACGAGAATGAAGAGTGTCTGGGAACATACAGCAGGGATGCTGATAGACTCGGTGGGAGAAACACCGATAGCATCGGTGGACTTAGGGCAGTAAGTGGCAGTTTCGGTAACGATAACAGTGCTCACTTCCTCGGCGACGACACCGGCGGCCACAGCGGCGAAAACAGCAGCGACGGAGAAACGCATTTTGTCTAGATTTGTTGTTTCTGTCCAAAGAGTGGCGAATTGAAATTAGCGGTTGGATTTTTGTTTTGTTTTTTTGCAGTTGGAATTTCTCCCCGAAGGTAAAGAGTGACGTGAAGTAAAGAATGTACTCGGTAGGGACCGGAATAAATGTATAGTGATTGACTGACTTGGGGGGTGGGAAAGGAGAGGGAGGAAGAGGAGAAGGGGAACAGAGAGGCGTGAGAGACTAATTAATATAATAAATTGAGACAAAGGAGACTAGAGTAACTAACGTTTGATTACATCCTACTTCTGTACTAGTCGTCGACGGACAACCATCGATGGTGTCAGATGTGTACACAAACCGTGTGTGGCAATTACATCGGAGACCTCACGGATTGGATGATCGATCCCGCGCCCCATATCCACTCAGATCCACTTTTATGCACACATCCAGGCACCAGGAACAAACCCCCTTTTCCTTGCCAATTTTAATGGGTTTCTTGTACTCCACGTTCTTCACCGCGTGTTCCTCGCAGTAAATAGGTACGTACGTACGTTCAGTACTAGCTAGCCCTGTTTGTTTGTTTATTTGCTTGCTTGTTTGAGGTTGTGCAATTTTGGTCGAAGAAGATCTATCTCATATTGCTTTGTGAGACGAGTCAAGACAATCAGGAGCTGAACGCAGCAAGGGTCCTTGCTCTTCAACTTCCTGATTGATCACCCCCTCTTCCCCGTACCTACTCCGTAGGTATTTACTGTACATACAGACATAATCATCGAACCCAGTTCCCCCGTACCCAACAGAGTTTTCTTCTTATCCGCCCTGAGGATCATTGCCCGGTTCAGTGACCACCTGGGGCCCAACTTTAAGATATGGTCTATCATTCGTTCAGTGGCACCCAATTACAACTTTCTCGAGGACGCAATTATTGAGATTGCCCTCCTGTTCTATTTTTTGCGTTGCTCGGATCCAGTCAGGGTTCAAAGTGTGAATGGAGCACAGGTATCAATCACCTGTACATCGACTAAGCACTATCCGAATGCCAGGGATCCCGACTGTCATAAGCTGGCAAAATCACCAACTGACGTGTCTGGTCAATATCTGTAGATCTTACTCATTGACAATGACTTGTCTGTGTAAGATGTTCTGCAAGGCACAAATACACCTATGACCTGACCGGTAATATCATGCTGTCGCCCGAATAACTTCAAGCTTTTTGTAAAGGTCACCCAGTCTAGACCATAAGACTTTTCGAACTGTTGCATGGCTTCTAAGCAATGAGGGCAGAATCTACTTGCTGTAAATATAATCCGAGATCGACAGATTGACATTGATACTAGCCTACTGCTAAAGACAAGGGGTTCATCACTAATAAAGACATGGGTGCCCTGGACAGCCCTGGCGACTGAGTCGAGACCCGGCATCCCAAAACAAGAGAAGGCAAAACAGGCAACACAGGCAAGTGCATATCATATCATATATAGATTAGATGATATATTCCATCAATCCGTTCGTCTTCGTCGGCATACCCAGCATAACACAACCTCCAATCCGATCGTTCATTGTCCCAAAATGGATGGTGAACGGCGGGACACTTCAGCATCGCCCGGGAAAAGCCAGCAGAACCGTCCTTTCCACGAGAACTGACAAGTTAAAACCTTTTCTTCATCTTGGATTTAGTTGTGTGAAGAAAAAAAGAAGAAAAGGAAGGGGGTCGGAATCGGAAAGTCCATAAAAAAATAAGCGAGCGGAGATGGAATAACTGTTAATACGATTACCGGAGATGCTAACCCGAAAAATGACTAGTGGGTTGCTTTCCGCGGGCAACGGCAATCACCGCGCGGTTAGTTGTCCGATGATAGGACAGCATACGGTGGTTCGTCCTCCATTACTTCTCATTAAATTCTGATCTATTCCCCCCCCCTCCCTTCTTTTTGTTCTATTGTAGACTCGTCGTGTCTATTGTAAGCAAGTACGACAGGAGATTCAAAATGCTGAGCCGCTGTGGTCGCCAGGCTTTGCGATTGGTCCCGCGCACGGGAAGCTCTTCCAGAGCTATCGCCATCACTACTACTCAACTCCGACCGGCTGCTCCCTTGCGCGCCTCCAGCTCAATTTCTCAGAGCCGGAGTGTGTCGTCCTCCAGTCGCGATGGACAGCAACATGTATGTGCCCCCTTTACTCTCAATCGCCCCTAGAAGTTTAAACAAACGCGCGCAGATGTGGTAAAGTCCCATGCTAACGTCATCTCCGCAGTTGCTCTCCGCACACCTCGAGGAGGAGGACCCCACAATCTACAATATTCTCCAGAAGGTTGATTTTCCCCATTGCGGAGTTGTCCCACTGCTGTGAATAGTAGTACTCATGTATACTTGCAGGAGAAAAAACGTCAAAAGCACTTCATCAACCTGATCCCTTCAGAGAACTTCACTTCACAGGCGGTCCTTGATGCCCTCGGCAGTGTGATGCAAAGTCAGTCCACCACTCCGACCTCTGTGCGCTACTCCCAACTAATCAGCTGCCAGACAAGTACTCAGAGGGTTATCCCGGTGCCAGATATTATGGAGGAAATGAGCATATTGATGAGTCAGAGAGGTTATGTCAACAGCGTGCATTGGAGACCTTCCGACTCAATCCAGAAGAATGGGGCGTGAATGTTCAACGTAAGCTTCCCCGGTTAGCGTGGAATCTTGGAGTCGTGGTTAATGGTTGAATAGCACTTTCCGGTTCCCCCGCCAACTTGTATGCCATCTCCGCCCTTCTCAACACGCATGACCGCCTGATGGGCCTCGACTTACCCCATGGTGGACACTTGTCACATGGTTACCAAACTCCCACCAAGAAGATCTCATTCATCTCGAAATATTTTGAGACCCTTCCTTACCGCCTTGATGAGTCCACTGGTCTCATTGATTATGACGCCCTCGAGAAGCAGGCGCTACTCTATCGTCCCAAGCTCATTATTGCCGGTACTTCGGCCTATAGCAGATTGATCGACTACCCTCGGATGCGCCAGATCGCAGACGCAGCTGGTGCATACCTCCTCAGCGACATGGCCCACATCTCTGGTTTGGTTGCTGCGGATGTACTTCCCTCGCCTTTCAGTCACTCTGATGTGGTGACAACGACTACTCACAAGTCCCTGCGTGGGCCCCGTGGTGCCATGATCTTCTACCGCAAGGGTGTCCGCCGGACGGACAAGAAGGGCAACCCGGAGATGTATGACTTAGAGAATCCCATCAATGCCTCCGTCTTCCCGGGCCATCAGGGCGGCCCTCATAACCACACCATTACCGCTCTAGCAGTTGCACTGAAGCAGGCTCAGTCGACCGAGTTCAAGTCTTACCAGGAGACCGTCTTAGCCAATGCCAAGGCATTGGCTGACCGCCTTGGCAGCCCTCTCAGCAATGGGGGTCTGGGTTACAACATTGTGTCCGGTGGAACGGATAATCACCTGGTCCTCGTGGATCTGAAGAACCGTGGGGTTGATGGAGCTCGTGTTGAACGTGTTCTAGAGCTCTGTGGTGTTGCTAGCAACAAGAACACCGTTCCGGGAGATCGGTCAGCCTTGAAGCCCGGTGGTCTCCGCTTGGGTACTCCTGCCATGACTACTCGTGGCTTCCAGCCCGAGGACTTCCGTCGTGTGGCCGATATCGTTGACCGTGCGGTCATCATCACCCAAAAACTGGACAAGGTTGCCAAGGAGAGCGCTGCGGCTAAGGGTGTTAAGAACCCGAACACCGTCAAGGCTTTCCTGGAATATGTTGGTGAGGGCGAGGAGATCTCAGAGATTGTGCTCCTGCGGCAGGAAGTCGAGGACTGGGTAGGAACGTTCAGCCTTCCTTGGAAGGACGAGTAACCGGCTTTTCTACGAAGAACTATGAAATAAGGCACTGATCGGGTTTAAATCAATTATCACGGGAGTTATATGAGCATTGACATTAACGTTTTCATTTTTCTATTTGATATCTGTATGTACCATGTACAAAAATTTATTCAAAGCCTCTTGAAACTTCGGTATGCTGTAGGATTGAATGCAGCGGAAACGTTAACCTGTCATGGGCAAGTGTCCCGGCTTGGCAGTCGCTATCTCCTTCCAGGTTGTGAATAACGTGGAGTTACTTCCGGCCATCGGTATGTAGGAGAGAACGATGTGAATATCCTTGTTAAGCGCAAGCGCTAGCTCAAAGTTTACCGATAAAAACCAATACCTTCGCCTCGCCCGACGACACCTGCAGCTTTCTCAGGCATTCTAGGCAAAGCAAACAGGCTCACGCCATGGAAATCAGCCAGGTACGGAGCCGTCCAACATCATTTTCCCCAATCCAATGCGGTAATACTCATTTCCTTAGCTGTACATATACCCCATTAAATCCCTTCGGGAAGTAGCCGTTCCCGAGGCTGTCCTCACCAGTACCGGCTTTCAGTATGACCGGCGTTTCATGCTGCTCAAGATCAACCAAGGCGAGGATGGTATCGAAACCCTCCAGAACATGCATGTACCGCATTTCCCCGAAATGAGTTTGTTTCTAACGGGCATCGTATTTCCAATCGAGGGTGAGAACAATGGAAAGATCATCGTGACATATCGCCCACCAGGCGTGACAGACAATGGTAATCTTCAGATTAAAACTTTGGAGATACCATTAGAACCAGACGTACAGGGGTTGGAAGAATTGACTGTTACAATGCATCAAAGCCCGACAAAGGGTTATCATATGGGCAGCAAATATAACGACTGGTTTAGCCAGTGTTTCGGGTATAAGGTGGTTCTTGTATACTTGGGCCCACATTGGAGGAGAGTCTTAGGGAGCTTCCCACCAGGGAAAAGTCAGGCACATCGTGAACAGGTGACTCCACTTGTTTCTAAACGGTCGGTGACCGTTTTGGCTCTTCTGAGCTTGCTTCTGAATATTAGTGTGCCACTTGGGCAGAGAGACATCACCTCATTCATTCTCTTTGTACTAGTGACTACAACTGTTGCTGTTCTCGTGGCTCTTGGTGCTAATAGATACGGATCTGGAGGCGGTAAAACGAAGGAAGAAAGGATCACATTTGCCGATACAGCACCATACCTCATGATATCAGAGACTTCGGTAGACAACGTGTCTTCCCGCTTGGCTGGTGAAAACGCGATGGACCTGAGAAAAGCCCGGCCAAACATTGTCATTTCGGGTGCTAGAACGGCTTTCGAGGAGGATTTCTGGGCGGAGCTGATGGTGGGAGAAAAAATCCGACTTCTGTTGACGGCGAATTGCATCCGATGCCAGAGTCTCAACGTTGACTATATGACAGGGAAAATGGGAACAGGAGACAGTGGCAACATTCTTAAAAAGCTGATGAAAGACCGAAGGGTAGACAAGGGCGCGAGATTCTCCCCTGTGTTTGGAAGATATGTGTTTCTAGACCGGGACTGCGAGAATGCCTCCATCCGGGTCGGAGAAGAGGTGACTGTATCTAGAAGGGTAGAGGAGCGGACAACATATGGTGAGCATAACATTCTATTTCTAAACTGGCTCCATTGGCATGTGTTTACTGATTATGTTCAGATTGGCCTGGCCTGACGAATTAAGTTGTGATTTACGTGTAGTCCTTCTCAGTCTAGCGTTTCGTGGCGGCTAAGGTTGATATATGGAACCTAAATTTCAGCGCGTATCAGCAGTTAGATTCGATATTCGACTTATCTTCCGTCATTATACATTGAATGATGAGTAGTAATCAGATCCAGTGACGATGCCAAGACATTTGGTATTGCATTATCAATCTCCTTAATCTTCAGCAACCATAGAGTTTTTCTTTACCTTTATCCATAACCGTGCAATCATAATGAGCGACTTCCCACCGTCGAATCTTCAGCCCCTTATCCGGGAGGTTTGTGAACTTCTCAAAGCGAAGAAGGAGACAATATCCGTTGCGGAGACGGTATGTGTCGTCATATTAGTCCCGTCGTCCTTCCTGGCTTGCTAACCTTCCAGGCCGCTGGCGGACTCATTTCAGCAAGCCTGCTCTCTGTTTCCGGAGCGTCAGCCATCTACAAAGGTGGATTGACTGTTAGTCTATCCGATGTTACCATCCTTTACATACAAAAAAATACACTGCAGTGTAAAGATTAACATGGCAATTAAGGTATACACCCTGGAATCTCGGATCGCCTTTGCCGGATGGACTCCAGCTCATCTGGAAACCTACAATGGCCCAACGCCCGCTATTGTGGCCCAAATGGCCGACCACGTTCGCCACACTCTCGGTTCCACCTATACGGTGAGTGAGAGTGGAACAGCCGGGCCGACCGGCGGGACGGCGAGGAATCGCACTCCGTAGGAATTCCATTAGTGATTTCAAGCAGAAGAGCATTAAGGCAAGGCTAATGACTCGCAGAGGCTACGTAGCTGTCGCAGTATCAACTGCGCATGGAACGTATACACGAGAAGTGGAGACGGGCAGTAACGATCGACAGAAAAACATGGTTACCTTTACTGAAGAGAGTTTAAAGTTGTTGAGGGATGTGCTGGTTGGGAAGGCGAATCTATAGACCACCGGGACACTTCCTGTGGTTTGTGTTTAAAGATAAAAAAAGACCGAATGGGACAATACTTGTTCTTTTTCTATCGCATGGGATTTGCGATCCATGGTTTAAACCTAAACGCACTTTAGCTGGTAACTTGGTCGTCATGTCGATAGCTTATACTCTCATATATGACATGGATTAACTTCATTCTAGCGTTTTTCTGGAACATGGAACTGAGTAGGTAATCTGTACGCTGGGATGCCTTATTTCTTGAGGTCATCCAAGTAATATTGTATCATACGGAGTAGTATCACAGCCCCAATGACGCACCTGAGCACCGCCACATTCCCCGTGACACCCCACCAATTGCCATTGTTGAGTCTGACTAAAGCACTTGAACGGCAATAGGTGGAATGCAGAGTGGAAAATAATACTAATCCAAGAACAGTTCAAACCTAATCTTACTGGTCACTGGTTCGTTGATTCTGCAGTCACGGTAAGACACTCATGGAAAAGATCTTTTTAAATCTTCTTTCACTCCCACTTCAAAGTATACTATACCCCTCCCAAATTCATTTTACAACCGGATTTTTTCTCTCACTCTATCAAGAATACCTCTGGTCATTTGTCTTGCCCAATACATCCCGGTGGCTTCGTGCTTTTCCTCGACCGGTTTCGTCATCTGCCGCCCACATCGAGCCGATCAGGCGCCCATATATTCCCGCTCCCTGTTAGGGTGTTCCCAGCCCACCAAGGGATTGGCACGATGGATACGACGATTCTTCGTCGTAAAGATACTACCAAGGGTCCTCCCTTGCGGATCTTATCGTTAGGTATGCTCTCGGTTCTAAAGAACCTTGGATATAGATCTTCTAGCTGACAGTTCAGATGGTGGCGGCGTCCGCGGCTACTCGATGCTCATCATCCTCCAGGAACTTATGTATCGCGTCTATGTCGAATGCGAAGGCAAGGCTCCTCGTCGCGATGAAATCCCCAAACCCTGCGACCACTTTGATCTCATTGTCGGCACCGGCACTGGCGGCTTGATAGCTCTCATGCTGGGCCGTTTACGGCTCGATCTCGAAACGTGCAAAGAAGTTTATGTGCGCATGACCCGTCGGGTTTTCGAAACGGATAAGACCTTTGCTGGAATTCCTTTCCGGTCAACCCTATTCAAAGCCTCGAGATTGGAGGATGCTATTCGTGAGTGTGTGCGTGAACACACCGTTTTCGAGGCGGAGGGAAATGACATGTCGCCCGGCGCTCGCACATCTTTTGCCAACACGCCATTCAGCCCCAACTCGATCCCCCAGCGTTCCGCTAGCCGCGCCAGTTTCAGCACCGTTGGTTCGCATTCTTCCAATCCCAGTCAGCGGGATTCGACATTCATCAATGGTCTACGCTGGGGAAATCCAAATGCGTTGTTGTACGACAATCGGGAGTATCGCACCAAAACGTAAACCTTCCTTCTCTTCTGCCTTGATTTTTCGTCCTCTCTTGTTGTATGTATTTTGGGCTAACATACGATGTCAACAGGGCGGTTACAGCATTGTATAAGGGCACTACGCGCAACGGATCCGCTGTATTCTTACGATCTTACGACTCCCGAAAAGAACCCCCTCCGGAGTTTAACTGTACAGTCTGGCAAGCTGGTCGGGCAACGTCAGCCACTGGGCTTGCTTTTAAACCAATTCAGATTGGACAACATGTCTTCATCGACGAAGGTACCGGCACCTATAACCCTGCACCGCAGGTCCTGGATGAAGCGACAGTCAATGAGTGGCCCGGTCGCGAAGTTGGAGTATTTATAAGCGTTGGTACAGGCAAACGTCCACCGGGTACGAATAATCGACAGCATGAATGGTGGGAGGACTTCTTTGGCGATGCGCTGGGTACATTTGCAGAGGCGCGCCGTCGGCTGATCGCTAAGATCGAGGGGTGTGAAGATATCCACAGGGACATGCTCCGAGAGCATTTGGCCAAGCGTAACGTGGTTAAGGATAACTACTACCGGCTGAACGTCGAAGTGGGTGTGGGGGAGTTTGGTATGAATGAATGGAACCGATTGGCGGACATCAGCACCAACACTCGTCGCTACCTCACCAAGCCTGAAGTGAAGAAGCAAATTCTCGATGCCGGTGTCAAGTTTGCTAGAATCGAGCGCATGCACCGTCGGGCGGCAGCGCATGCGGCAGCTGGAAATGATATGTCCAATTTCCAGGATGACAGTTCTATAACCCAGAGTCCAAGGCTGTCTGTGGTGCCGCCTCCAATTCCAGATGCGGTGGAATTACCCGCTGAGTTGCCAGGCGATTTTACCTTGCTGTCACCAGCAGGGCCGCCCCCTCTACCGATGAACGACGATGAACTCCCAGTTCATCCAATGTCGCAGGATGCAGTTTCGCCAACACCGGCGCGGGGTTCAGTCAGTGACCTGAGCGACATCAGCCGACCCGGCTCACAACAACACGGGTCTCCGCGACGAAGTACCGATCATGTGCATGATGGCATGCCGCCACCAGTACCTCCAAAGACCCCAATTCCGTACCCCAGCGAGTTGGGAGGAATTCCAATGCCTACTCCATTGGTAACCACAACGGGTCCTCTGGGGCATGGACCGAATGGGAAGATTCGACCTCCCTATCCAGTGGATGAGCATCCACCTGTGGTCAACAAGCAGCGAAAACCAAGTTACCACGTGCGATAAGTCTTCTTTCCAGTCCTTTTTTTTTTCCCTTGGCTTGTTCAATTTCAATGTCACGAAGTATCCGCATATTCTTGTTGGACGTCATGTGTAATGATTGGGGGGTTTTTTTTCTCTAGGTGCAGAGAGAGATTCATGATTTTCCTGGTGTTCTTTTTCTACATTTTCTTCTTTTTTTTTTTTTTTCAAGGAGCTTCCTTACGACTGCGGTTGTGGTTCAAGTGTGATGATGAGCAGCATTGTTATTATACCCTTTGAAGTTAATCTCAGATTGGATCCGGAGATTTAATGTTTAGCCAATGGTTCCCTGGGAGTTCTAGACTCCGGCTGGATTCTTCTTATCATGAATCATGACCGACGCATTCTACCTCGTATTTCAATGTAGTGAAAATAAAATGAAAATCACAGAGGGGGATGTGCTAAGTAGTTACTGTCCTTTATTTGTAAAGAATTGTCCAGTTCATTATAAAAAAGTAGGAAAAATAAAAATACAAAATCAAATTTTAAGAGGCGCCCGCCTTCAAGATTCGTCATTTTATCTTGTATATCGAATGGTAGTGGGTCACGCTTCTCTTCACCCGCACCCAGCCTCTCACTTTCCTCCTTGCTTCCTTTCCTTTCATACGTGGTTTTCTTATTTGTTCCCTGGGCTCTGCCTAATCTTTCGTCTTCTCGCTCCCGGAATTTTCATTGTTCTCTTGCCCCTTTCTTCATGCATGTCTTTAGAATTAACTCTGACACATTCCCCGGCGCCTATCAACCACACATTCCACACCTGCCCTCTATCTAACCTTCGAAGCGCCCAGTCAAAACCTTTATCGCCGCCACCACGAGTCACTTTCATGGAGTAGCAGTCGTTTCGCGCTGATTCTATTTTTATCGACTATTCATATATCTCGTCGTGTACATATTCCCTCAAAGCAGATAAAAAAACCACACTGCTGGCAGTGTTCATGCGCGCTTCCGTTACACATGGATTTCTCAACTCTTGAGGTTCGCTCCGATTCAGGGAGCGGTCGACCGGCTTCCTACAAAGCCATCGGTATTTCTTTAGCTGTCGCATCGGGTCTATTCATTGGTGTATCGTTCGTACTCAAGAAGACGGGTCTGCTGAGGGCCAATGTCAAATACAATGAGGAAGCCGGCGAGGGGTACGGATACCTGAAGAACTTCTACTGGTGGGCGGGTATGACGCTGATGATAATCGGAGAACTTTGCAACTTCGTCGCTTACGCCTTCGTTGATGCGATTCTGGTAACTCCGCTGGGTGCGCTGTCGGTTGTGGTGACGACGATCCTATCTGCTATCTTTCTCAAGGAACGGCTGAGTTTCGTCGGTAAGGTTGGCTGTTTTACCTGCATTCTCGGGTCTGTTATCATTGCGATGAATGCGCCTGAGCAGTCATCCGTAAGCAACATTCAGGAAATGCAGAAATATGTTATCACTCCCGGGTTTTTGTCGTACGCTGGCGTTATCATCGTGGGTAGCATCATCACGGCTGTGTGGGCTGGGCCTCGATACGGAAAGAAGAGCATGTTCGTCTACATTAGTATCTGCAGTTCTATTGGTGGGTTAAGCGTAGTCGCTACGCAGGGACTGGGCTCGGCCATTTTGGCACAGATCAACGGAGAATCGCAGTTCAAGCATTGGTTCCTCTACGTCTTGTTTGCGTTCGTCGTGGCGACTTTATTGACAGAAATCATTTATCTCAATGTTCGTCCCCACCCAATTTTCTCCTGTTGGCTTCGTCTTCTCTCTTGACATTTTACTAACGCTATCCAGAAAGCGTTGAACATCTTCAATGCCGCCCTAGTCACCCCCACCTATTACGTCTTTTTCACCAGCGCCACGATTATCACCTCAGCAATTCTCTTCCAAGGCTTCAAAGGGACCGGCATGCAGATCGCTACAGTCATCATGGGCTTTTTGCAGATCTGCGCTGGGGTCGTCCTCCTGCAGCTCTCTAAGTCCGCCAAAGACGTCCCCGACTCCGCTGTCTTCAAAGGCGACCTCGACCAGATTCGTGAGGTGGCCACACAGGAAGAACCAGAAACAGAGCCCAAGGCCGACTCTATCCGCGGCACAGCCGCTATTATTCGTAGGATATCGACACCCCGTCGTACGATGGAGGCAGAGGAGGCACGACGCTATTTAAGAGAACGACAAGAAGATAAGCTACACCCGCCTGCAGAGAACGAGATCATCGAATGGGATGGATTGCGCCGGCGCAAGACTGTCCTCGGTGAAGGACCAACGATGACCCGGAGTGCAACTCGCACGCCGTCAGTCAAGAGGCCGCTACCCCCATTGGGAATGTCCCGGTTTCCAGATGAATCAGAGCGTCCCGATACCAAACAAAGTAATCACTCTTTCTTAGATGAGATTCGAATGCGGTCACCGAGTCATTCGTGGCAGCCAATTCGAGACCATGACCCTAGTCAACCGGCGGCTTTAGCGCCTATGTCGTCAATCCATAGCAGAAAAGTCGACACAAGTTATCCCGGACCACCTCGAAGTGACACATCTCATTCTATAACATGGGCAGACGAACCCCCTGAACCTCCAGCACATGGTTCTAAACGCCAATTTTCATTCCATGCTTTCCACCGACCCAAGTTCGACGTGCCTAAGTCCCCTCGGGGCATCTTGCGGAAGGGCCATGAGCGTAAACCCACGGAAGAGGAACGTTTAGGGCTGGTCCGAGGAGACTCAAGGGAAGATACTGGTGAGAAACTGGATCGTACATATTCAAGTGATAGTATGGAGGACGAATTGCCATTAGGTGCACGTACATTTACTGCAGCGCCGCCATACGAAGAACATCACTTTCACCCAGTCGAGGCTAGCCCACAGCGATCGTCCCGGCTTGTACGGAACCCCCTGCCGCCATTGCCAGACGAACCGCCTCTAGAGCCCTACACCCAGGTCGAGCTTGGTTTGCCTAGCTACCGCCGCATGTCTGACGCAAGCGCAGGGTCGCTATCGTCGGGCCCAAGCAGAGGTTGGGAACAGGGAGGATGGCGACGGCCTTCGAACGATGGCGAGACAAGGGGTGGGCCAAGGGGCGCTCCTATGTAGACATGCTTGTATGATAATGATAACGATGTATATATAACATAACGACTTGATTCATGAGGGTATCACAGTGCATAGACCTTGAAAACTTCAGAAACCATATCAGATCCCAGTAAAAGACAGAACACTCCTTTGCCCCTTTGGCATGATATCCATTGCAAACCTAGCCTCAGACAACCGCTTCCCAGCCTCGATACTCTCCAGAGCCCTATGTATTATAGTCAGCATCCGCAACCCCCACGACGACCCACGTCAAAATCCGGGAAAAAAATACCATTCAACGAAAACGACCTTGATCCCTTTCCACCCACCCCGCGAGATCTCCTTCTGTAACTTCGAAGCCGCAAGTCCCCCACCGGCACCCATCCCACGCCCCGTATTAGGCTTCGCAACAATAACATGGGAGACCTTCCTCGAAAGCGACAGCGAAATGGCAGCACCATGCATTGTAAGGAGCCGTTTCAAATAGTGATCCGAGACAGTCGATGGTAAGTGCTGTTAATAAAAACCGTAAGGCCCTTAAAAACCAGCGGTACTTCCTTGACCTCGGTCGATAATGACGACAACGACGACGACGACGACGACAACTGATCCAAAGAACCTGGCGACGCATTCACCACCAACCCGGCAACTTTCGAACCCTTCAACAACTTCGAATCCCGATCCTTTCCGGAGTCAGACACATCCCTCGACCGCTTCCCCACGCGCATCATGGACCGGATATCCCGCTGTCCTGCTGCATCATCCCTTGATTCCTCTGCGCGACTCGTATAAGACCATACCCACTCCCCTTTCTCTGCTTTGTTGCGATGCGATGTACCATCCCTCGGGGAATCGGTACAGTCGCCCGACGCGGAACTGAACTGTTGAGCCAGCTTCTCTTCTCTTGTTCGACGCCATGCGGTCCCTGTCGATGAATCGGCCCGTTGGTGGCCCGTGGCGCTGCTATTCCAGGGGTCGAAGATGAGGTGGTTTTGGGGGGTTGGGGTTGGTTTTTTGGATGGGGGTTGATTTGTGTTGGACATTTTCTTTGATTTTTTTTTGTTTCTTTTTCTGGCTTTGTTATGGATGAGGTTTTGTGTCCCTGGATGTTGTACGTTTCGTTGGAAGATAAAAAGTCCTGGTTGATTATACCCATGGTTCGGTGTTGATGTTTTGCTGTTTTCGGCTAGCTTTGCTTCGCTTCGGGTTTGGTATGCGGCTTAGTGGGGTTGGAATCGCTCTGGAATTTAGACGTTGAAATAATGGCATTCGCGTCTTGGCGGGACTAATCGTAGATAGATGTGATCTATGGGCGTATATACATGTAGAAGAGGGAATAAAAAAGAAAAGAAAAAAAAAATCACCACACATCCTCCTGCCACTTGTTCCGCCTCTTCATTCTCGTCCTCCATTCATTCGCCTCATCCTGACCCTTCACGCTCATCACTCCCGCAACCGCCTTCTCGACCTCCCTTGCCATCTCGGCCTTTCCACAGATGTAAAAGTTGGCTCCCTCATCGATCAATCTGTAAACATCATCTCCCACCTCGGGGATCTTATCTTGGACGTATTGTTTTTTGCCCTCACGCGAGTAGGCGGTGACGATGCGCAACTTCTCTCCTAGCGCCCTCCTCATCTCTTCCAGCTCATCCCGGTAGATGAAGTCCTCATCCGGCCTCCGGCATCCGAAGATAAGCAGCATCTCGCCAACTTCCTTTCCGATCTGCTGGAGCTGTCGACGCTCGGCGATGAATGCCCGGAACGGCGCCAGACCTGTGCCTGCCGCAACCATGATAAGCGGGCACTTAGCCAGGTGGGGAGCTTGAATTTGCTTTTACGGAGGTGCGAGAGCAGCTTTCCGCCTTGTAGGGAATCGCTTGGTCCGTTGAGGTGGTATGTGAGTCCTTCTGGGTGAGGAGCCGAGCGGAGGTTCTCCGAGACAGCGAGGAGGTAGTTGGACGTAATGCCGTGGATCAGCTCGTCTCCATTCTCGGGAACGGGGGTAGTCGAGACGACGACTGTGATGGAGGCCTTGCGCGGGGAAATTACACTGCTTGATGAGATAGAGTAGTATCGTGGTTGCATGAGAGGGAGTGTTTCGACAAGGTATGACAAGGGGATGTTCCATGTGTCAGTGCTGGCTTGATGCAGCAGTCGGCCGAGGTTAACATGGTTCTTGTTAATAAATGCAGCATAGCTGGCCTTATCCTGACCGAGTTGTTGGAGATATGCTTTTGCTTCCGGGGTCGGGGCGAACTGTGCCAGTCCCAGGATATTGTCCCGATTTACGGGACCGCAGATCTCGAGATAGTAGCGGAGGAGGGTTGCGACGGTGGTTGGGGATGGAATCTTCACTTTCGTGGCGGTGTCAAGCGACTTGATACTGATAGGCACGTCACGACGCGATGAGAGACCCAGGGCCTGGAGGAGACGCTCCACCTCGGAGTCAGGGTTTCCGGGCCAGATGGCAAGATGATCACCAGTTTTATATGTGAACTCCGGTTGGCTGGTGAGATCCAGATCTATGTGAAGACAGTGTCGGTCGGAGGAGTTAAACAGCTCCCGAGATGCAGAGATGGCCAAAGGCCGGATGGACGAGCACTGAGCCTTAAGGGAGCCTGCGTCCGGCTCTCCATGGTGCAGGTCAATTGGCTCCAGGGATTCGTCCTCTTGTACAGATAAGGTGGGCATGTATTGAACCTCATGCTCCTGGAAACCCAGACCCTTCAGTACGGCAAACAGGCTCTCCTTCCAGGTCATAAAGTCCTCCTGAGTAGCACCTTCAGCATCATCGGCCTTTCCGACCGGCATCACTGCTGTCGCACCTAGTTTATCCAGCGCCTCCGCCACGACGTCGACGACACGGTTATAGTATTTATAGTTTCTGTTTCCCAGACCGAAGGCAAAGTACCTTACAGACGACAACAGCTGCCCTTGGTCCTTAGTCTTGTTGACCCAATCCCATAACTCCGCCGTGTTATCACTGGGATCTCCCTCGCCATAGGTGGAGAGAAGGAACCCGACCAGCTTTGAATGTGGAACCTCAGCGATCGTCTCGGGGTCATAATCGGACAGGTCTGCTGTCATGGCACTGAGGCCAAACCGCAAGGAGATCTCTCTCGCCAAGCGGTTGGCGAACCCCTCAGCGGTGCCAGACTGGGAGCCCCAGAAGACGACCATGTCTTTGTTGGACTCTTCCAATTTCTTGGCGATGTTTCGGGTTTCTTTTGTGGCGGAGCCGGCGGCCCCTCCATCCTTGAGCTGTGGTCGTTCGTACACGAGATGTTGGTATGGATCCGGCTGGTCCCAGAGGTAGCCCCGAGAGAGATATGTGGTAGCTGCCACGGAGAAGATGGCTAGGGCTGAGTAGTCGGCAATACCGGTAGGAGTGAGTGTTTTCGAGAGCTCTTGGAGAGCCTCGGGGGGGATGTTGAGGGGCAGAGGCCACGGGGGCGTCATGGTGTGACTGTGATGTGACTGTAGAGCAATTGATGGAAGATAAAAAATTCAGTAGGTTTTGATAGTCATGAGAGTCCACCGGAGGGGAAATGAGGGAGTGATGGAAGGTTGGATCTTATATACATTGCAAGCAGGTACAGAAAGGGTAGATGGTGCAAAACTACCCAAATAGGGAAAAGCGACAAGACTCGGAAGCCACATCCCTAATCGAGACCCTCGGTCTTTGAGCATCTTTATTTGTTTATTTTTTTTTTGGCTCCACTGCTCATGAGGGACGGGCGACATTTCTCGATCCAGCAAATCCACGTTCAAACAGAGTTCATCGCGAGGGCCTCGACATCTGGGGAAACGTGGAGAAACTCGAATTAAGTTATGATATGATATCAAAATTGCGGAGGTGTGCCAGAAGAGAAAAGCAAAAAAGAAGAAAGGAAGGGGAAAGATTCCCTTGCGGGGAATCTTTCTTCTTCAAGCGGACGTTGATCTTTAGGGTTATTTTAAGCACTTTCAAATCACGCACGGGGCAGAAAGTGGCCAAAAGGAAAGTGGATCAAAAAGCCAAGCTGATATGCGCTGGCCAACACGCGGGGGACTTGATGCCTTGATACTACGTACTAGTAGTCATGTCGCGGAATCCATTGACGATCGGAACTCAATCAATGGTCGCATATCCAGCGACATCCTGATATTGAGTCGAGATCTTGGATTCCCTCAGGGAAATATACAGATGGTGATCAATATTACCTACAGAAAACCCCAACGCTCGTGGTATCTTGTTCGCTATACCCCGGAGAATATAGGACATCCAGAGTGAAAAGTTCATTCCCGGCCTGTCTACTGTAGTATCTAGCAATAAACCAGACTTGCCCAGGCTGTAGATTGAAAATATATACCGGAACTGGCTACTGGCCAATGCCGGATATCTCACATCCATCCAAGATGACTCTACCAATCTATAATCGAAAGCTATATCTACGTTCCATGTCCATCAACGCAACAAGAGGATATAATATATTTATACGCTGTAAAGTCTATACCAGGATAAGAAAGCCCAAATGGCGCAAGGTGGAAAAAAAAGGTGATAGGAAGAAAGGAAATCGTGAATATTTTAGACTGTTCATGCCTCCTGCAAATTGCGTCTCCACACCTTCACCGGCATATCTCCCAAGATCAGATTCATGGTCTCCAACCGTTTCAACTCCCATCCGGGGTAGGGCAGTGCAAAATCGTACCGATGCACCAGCGTAGCCAAGATCTTAGTCTGCTCTAGATAAGAGATGTTCCGACCAATGCAGGATCTCGCACCCGCCGAGAACGCAATCAAGTATGGTTGAAGAGCCTTGCCTTCTTCCCCGAGCCATCGTTCAGGAATGTATTGGTCTGCCTTGGGGAAGACGCTCTCATCACGGTGTGCTACATATGCGGACATGCTAACCGACGTGTTTCCAGGAACCCATTCACCCAAGATCTCCATACCCTCTGGCGGAGTTTCGCGAGGAAGCCCATGCGAGGTTGGTGGGAAGATGCGAAGAGATTCATCTAAGCATGCACGGAGATACGGGAGGTGCTTCACTTTATCGTAGGGGGCGACAATCTCGTCCGCGTCCAGCACGGCATCGATCTCCTCTTGAAGCTTTTTCAAACTCTGAGGGTTCCGAAGGAGCTGATACATGACGTTTGCGATGGCGATAGCGGTTGTAACACTGCCGGCATTCATCATAATGTTCATCTCAGCCACGATCTCACCCCATTCCAAGTTGTTGGCTCGGCCGTTCTTGTCTTCCATCATCGCCTGGAAAAAGTCTTCGAGCTTCTCACCTGCCTCATACCGACGCAGGCGGTTCATTGACCGACGCCACACGATGTTCTCCCAATTGTCTGATGAAGTCTGCATCCGATTGAAGAATGGTATCACGTTGACCATCTTGTTGAGGGCCGGGTACCATTCATAGTTCCACAGAATGAGTGACTGCTTGCGAGCAGTGGGGTAAAGGGCCTGACGGAGGTTGACCTCATATGTGGAACCGTCCTTTCTCTCGGCAATACAAACATCACTCCCCGAATCCAGGAAGCCAAGCTTCTCCGAGAGTCCGATATCAGCGATCGCATCGAGAGTGAAGAAGTTGGTCCAAGCTCGGAAGTCCACTGTAAGGTCTTTCGGATCCGGTGCCACCTTGCCCGCTGCCACAGCAGCGGAGGGTGGTGCCGTGCATATTGTGTCGAAATGTGCGACAACTTTCTCGACTTTATCACTGACTTTGTGTTCCCATGTCTCCAAGTTCTTAAGCGCATATGCGGATGAGAGGACCTTACGCTTCCGTGCGTGGTCAGGCTTGTCGACCACATCAGCAAGATGGTAGTGCGTGCCAGCCGTCACAATATAGGAGGGATCCTTGATGCACCTGGTGTTGTGTCCATAGATGTCCTTGATAGCACGTACATCACCGTACGATAGCATATTAGGTCCGGTTCGAATGACGGGTTTGGTTCTGTGTAGTTCCTGAAGCTCTTTCGAGCGGAAGCCTCTGGATGCTAAGATCATGAAAGGTACCGCAGACATCCCAGAGAATGGGTTCAGGTTGGGATATTTTCGAAGCCCTAGTGATGTCAACAGGATGTCTCAAGGGATAGTAGGAGGGGGGGGGCTTGTCAAACACATACCCTTGGGGTCCCGCACATACTCTACCCATGGAAAGACGACAAAATACAGAAGGGAAAACAGCCCCAGCGCAAGCGCATACGGGGCGATAGATAGAGCGGACCACATATTGGGTTTGATGGTCTATCCCTCAAGACGAGTAGACAATATGAGATGGAAATGAAGAGAGAAGGTGAGAAGAATGTTTTCCTGCTTGTCCAGCCATTGTGATACACGAAGCCAGATACTTATATCCAACGACAACCAAGGAATCAGAGACAATGGAGTCGTGGAGCGCCTCTGGCGATCGTAAATTGTTACTTTCCATGGGAACGATGTACAGCACAACGGGGTAAACTTCCCATCGTGATCAGGTTGAAGGTGGGTTGCACGTGCGGGAAATATTTCCCTTTTATTTTCCCCCAACCCCCAGTCATGTGCCAATCGCGATAGGATTATAAGAAATCGTGGGGCTCCATCTGGACTTCCACCGAACGTCACGACTCCGCAATTTCTCCTGTGGGCTCTCGCCAAAAGGGTCAAGGGGCGGCTACTATCCAGTTCGTGTCATTGGATTTGACAGTATCCCTAAGTACTAGTAGAATCCCATGCTGCACGGCATTTGACGCAATAACCTTAAGGGCACTCGACAAATAATGGGGCGGATAAACGCTATCAAAGGCTGCAGAGCCTGGAGTGGCCCGAGAGGCAACTTTAGGTCTGGGGGAGCCCACATCGGCATTTCTCCGCCCCATGGAACGCGACGGAATCTGGGGGCAATACCGTGGGTGAATTCAATACATTGGCGTGAGGGGAAATATCTACTATATGTATGTTGTTGTTTTCAGGGCTTAGTGGGTGGGCTGGTGAGTAGGCAGGTTGATTGCACATTCTTCATTCCTCGTCATTTTCCCTAGATCTCGATTTTACCCATGTGTGATTCTTTGTATTGATATATTCCATACCCCCAGTTGATCTTATGACACGGTGATGCAATCGATGATGGATTCTGATTCACTGAAAATCTCCGATAATAAAGCGGAGATCTTCCACGATGAGGACCTGGCCTCAATGGGCTTGGATGACTCCATCGAGAAAACGAATCCCGGGAAGGCAGTATGGCTGATTGTCTGTGCGGTGTCTATGGGTGGCTTTCTATTCGGTAGGTATCACTGGTGGTCTAGTGATGTAGCCTGCTTATGTGAATCCCACTAATTGAATGACTCGCCAGGTTATGACACGGGGGTCATATCTGCCGTACTCGTCAATCTAGGGTCGGACCTGGGGAAGCCACTCAGCTCCAATGAACAAGAATTGGTTACCTCCATCACCTCCGGAGGTGCTCTGATAGGCTCGGTAGCGGCGGGCATGACAGCCGACAAATATGGCCGCAAGCTTGCCATTTACGTAGGCTGTATCATCTTCTTCATTGGAAGCATAATTCAGGCAGCCGCATACTCGCTCCCCCAGATGACCGTTGGCCGCCTCGTTGTAGGCTTCGGCGTCGGCGAGGCCGCGATGATTGTCCCATTGTACATTGGAGAGATGGCCCCGGCACGGTTTCGTGGCCGCCTCATAGTCTTTGACAATATATGTGTCACGTTCGGTCAGCTTGTCTCATACGCACTCGGCGCCGCATTCACGAATGTGGCTTCTGGGTGGAGGTACATGGTGGGCCTAGGCGCAGTACCTGCTATATTGCTCATTGCGTTGATGCCATTCTGCCCTGAGACACCTCGCCAGCTGGTCCTGCATGGTAGAATGGAAGAGGCTAGGCGTGTGATTACGAAGATATTCCCACGAGCCACTGACCAGCAGGTCGATGCGAAAGCGAGACTGATTCAATATTCAATTGAAGAGGCTACTGCGTCGATATCTAATAAGAGCCTTATATGGCAGATGAGACAGCTTTTTACCGTTGGTCAGAATGTGCGAGCTCTCATAACTGCTTGTGCCGTCATGGCGGGTAGGTGAACCCTCGGTTCTCATCCTTTGGGTCTACCAGCTAATAGCGAGCAGTTTCCCAGCTAGGCGGCTTCAATACGCTTATGTACTACTCCGCCACTCTATTTTCGATGGTTGGGTTTGACCAGCCGACGGTGGTGTCAATAGTGGTTGGAGCCACTAATTTTATATTTGGGTTCCCAAACTTCTTCTTTATTGACCGCTTCGGTCGACGACGTATGCTCCTGGTTACTATCCTTGGAATGGCAAGCATCCTTTCAGAAATACAACATCTACATTGAGAGAGATCATGCTAATCGTGAATAGTGCCTATCTCTGGTTGTTGCCTCCGTAGCCTTCCACTGGATTCCAGTGAACCATGACCTCACGGCCGTAGAGACGCGCGAGATGGGCTGGCCTAATATCTTGCTTCTTGTGTCTCTCATCGTGTATATTGCCTTCTACGCGTCAGGTGTGGCCCCGATCTCTTGGGTAGGGACGGAGTTTCTACCTCTCGAAGTTCGTGCATTGGGGACCATGATGAACAGTGTAACCTGCTGGGGCTGCAACATCATTATCTCGTCAACCTTTCTATCCATGATGAAGGGAATGACCCCTAGTGGAGCCTTTGGTTTCTATGCTGGTATTTGCTTTCTTGGATTTATCTTCGCGATTTTCTGCTATGCAGAGGTCCATAACATGCCTCTCGAGTCTGTCCGTGAGATTTATAACCATGGATTTGGAGTCAAGTATGCACGTAAGGTGCAGAAGGAACTTCACGAGGCTAGGAACTCAGAGGGGAGCACGGCGTGATGCACCGAAGCGTCCGTCCTGCTATACCACGCCTGGGCAACCAGCTGACGGTTTGCCCATACGTTGAATCCCTTTATGAGGGCTTACGATTCAACTGGCCGTTTAGAGTTTTAGATGTCTAGAGAGATCCGCTGGGGTTAGACACTTGCTGGATGCAGGGATTCCGGGTCATTACTTTTACTTCGTATATAGATGTAGCATAGAGCAAATGCAATGCAGTTCTCCGAGATGAAAACCCCTGCCCTATCCTACGACGCTGCACAGGACAAGATTAAGCTATACATGAGCTATGCAGTATAGATTCCTGGATTACGACGAGTATGCAGTGATTAACCCTGTATTGACAGACAGCAGCAGTTGAATCTCGATGGTTGACATCCAGCCTAAGATATACATTGACATACAGAAATACACATGTAGCAGTATACATATATATGTATATGTACGTACATACAGGTATAGACTTGCTCAGTCCATTGCCCATGATCAAGTACCCCAGCGATGCAGAGTATCTCTCGGCTCCCACCCTAGCATGTATCTATTCATCTCGACGAGCAAGGTGAATTCCTACGGCCCCCAATTATCAGGCGGGCCCCAAGGCACCTATCTTACCCATCGGATTGCACACTCCTCAAGTTTCATGTGCACTCGAATCTCTACCTTCAATAACATCATCGACCAACGCACATGACACAGTCGCGTCGCACACAACATTCCACAGCTCCACCAAATCACGAACGACACCCCCATCGACGCGACACAAATGACGGTGAGCGAGAGCGGTCAGCCAGAAAAGGGCGTGCTGACAGATCTCAACGGGGAAAGGATTGACAATCAATCTAGTTCGGAATGGGCAGGAGTCCGTATCATAAACCCTCGTCATCATCGTTCGGCATGCTGACTTTTTTTTTTTTTTTTTTTTTTCCTTCTACTGGTTTATTGAAAAGTAAATTTAAAGATAGTAGTTTTTTCTCTCTCTTCATCTGGATCATGAATAGAAAGCTTAATACGTGGTTGTGTTCGATTGCTACGTCATGTCGTTCTTTTCTGTCTCTATTTCTTTGGGTTTCCCTAGGGGCGTCTGACAAGTTTGAGGCGCTGCCTTAGTTAAGGCATGCTACTTATAGTTATATTTACACATGCATACATATATCTTAAAAGTCTAATTTTCTTCTTCGTTTTCTTTTTTTTTTGGCTTTCGGGATATGGATTGCATGATCGATTTCCCAGGTGTCCATGATCTTGGTACACGAGAGACCTACATGACACCGAGACATGTCCAAGCTGGACAACAATTGAAAAGAAACTGCGAACAGACCGACTGGTGACCCCCGCGCACTACTTTCACTAGTCGTGGTTTCTGCTCGGTTCTGCATTGGAGATCGCGGGTCCATGCGCCGATTTCATCTATGGACTTTTTTATCTGCGTTTCGGCTGGTATTGTGGCAAATGCCACTTTATTTCAGATCCGATTGTATCTATTTGATATTTATAGAAAAGAAAGTTGAAAATTTTTTTAAAAAAAAAAAAAATTAAAAAAAAAAGTAAGAGGGGAAAAACAGGAATGAAAATGATAAGGGACCCCAAAACTAAAGCGAGAAAAAAAAAAAAAAAAAAGAAGTTAGTCCGATTCGTTTCCAACAGTCAGTACGATGTAAGCCCGTTCCAAAGCCCCCAAGACAGGCGATCCCGGTCTACACTCGCATATGCACCACGGGTCGCTGCAGCTGAAACCCGGATCCCGTCGAGTTAGAGGGGAAACGGCCCAGGCCCTAAGATGGCACTAAAAAGATGGACCCATCCGCACTCAGCAAGGAGGGGAGGTAATTTGGAAAAAAAAAAAAAGAAGTTGGGGTCTGCTCTTTCGAATCTGCGGTCAGACCTTAGTACTAAACCGTAGTACTAGTACTACGTATTGACCAGGTCTCCTACCTGGGGGTTTTCCTTTGGATTTGATTTGATTTGATTTTTTCTTCTTTTCTTCGGGATGGTACAAGACAGACGGTACCAAAGAGGGGGAAGAGGGGGGGGGCGAAGAGAAAACAACTAAAGTAGTAGTACATTTAGGCGGTTTACTACGATTCGACCTAGTAGAGTAAGTAGGATACTATCCCCTTCGACAAGTACCTCCGAATCCAATCGCATACCGAGGAGGGAGGGGAGGGGGGTGATAGGAAAGGAGTTGGTCCAACACATCTTTCCCTCAATCTCTCTCTCTCTCTCTCTCTCTCTCTCTCTCTCTTAATTTGATTAAGATTCGATTAAAATAGTAATAATTATCGGAGAGGTAAGTAATTTATTTCGGACCAGAAACCAGAATCCATTGCTGACGGTTCACAGCGTCAACGGTGTCCCCGTGTCGTGACTGACGT